TGAGAGAGAGAAGAGTTACAAATAGTCAGTCAGACCCATTACAGAGACAACATCCGCATCCCACTCACCTGGCATGGTGCTGACAGGCATGATAGGGGAGGTGGCTGCTGGGGTGGGAGTGAGGGCCCCGCCAAGGCCACCCCCAAGCCCCCCAAGAAGATCTGATGAAGCTACGCTGGGGGTGGAAGGGGGGACTGCCACAACAGACGAGGAGGAGGGCGAGGTGGTGGCCGAGCCTAACAAATCGTCCAGCAGGTCCATGTTACTACTATGAGGGGCAGGGGCAGCAGGGGCTACAGGGGAGGTGGCAGAGGAAGCTGGGGCAGCAGCAGGTGTGGGGGCAGAGATGCCCATCAGCAGGGAGGCATTGGAGGAGCCACCTAGGGAGGACAGAGGCTAGGGTAGTTGTGGCTCTGGTATGGAGTGCAGTTAGGATCCTCATATTCTCTGTCACAAACATTATTCAGATAAGCATGAACACATTTAACCAGAAATCCACACAAGTGTGCCACACACACACACACACAAAAATGCATGTATGCAAATGAACACACAGACACACACACACACACACACACCCCCCCCACACACACAACCCCCCCCCCCACACACAACCCCCCCCCACACACACAACCCCCCACACACAACACACACCACACACACACACACACACACACACACACACACACACACACACACACACACACACACACACACACACACACACACACACACACACACACACACACACACACACACACACACACAACCACACAACTGAGACAAGACCATAACATTTAACTCCTATAATCTGGATAATGTGACGTGAAATTTGGGTTGAGGGGCGAGTGACATGAACTGTGGGCCGGGGAGATAGGGACTTGCTGTTGTGAGGAAAAGACTCACCACGAGTACACAACTTCTTGAAGGGTTATTTAACTCATTTGGTATTTAGGAATGGAGTTTACCATCAATAAACAAGTGTGGAATGTAATGCCCATAAGAGTCTGTGCAAGGAAAATAGTCTATTACCATCTGGATAAAGCAAATCTGATGCCAAACATTGAAAAATGGGGAAAAAAATATAAATGCCTATGCATAAAGAGAGAAAATAACATTGCAATGGAGAGGCATGATGTCTTGTCATCACACACAAGTGTTTGCCTACGCCTAGCCTACAAGTTGCACAACCCTCAGAGTGGCCGCTCACATAAACCTAATGCTAGTATTATGGGCTATGTGAGAGCTGTGAAGCATCTAGATCCAATGTATTAAGAAACACACACAAAAAAGAAATATCAAAAATAAAATAATATAAATGCAATACTAACGAAAGAATGTGCTTCATCATCCTGTAGAAAAAAAAAGGGATGGCGGAAGGAGGAAAAGGAGGAGGAAGATAGAGGAAGGAGATGGAAGAAGAGAAGAGGAGGTAGGGGGAGGAGGGGGAGAGGGAGCAGGAGGAGAAAGGGGAAGAGAGGTTAAGGAAGGAGGAGGAGGGGATAGGGTGAGGGAGGAGGAGGAGGGGGAGAGGAGGGCGGAGGAGGAGGGGGGAGAGGTGAGGGAGGAGGGGGAGAGGGTGAGGAGGAGGAGGAAGAGGGGGGAGGGGTGAGGGAGGAGGAGGAAGAGGGGGGAGAGGGTGAGGGAGGAGGAAGAGGGGGAGGGGGAGGGAGGAGGGAGGAAGAGGGGGAGAAGGGAGGGAGGAAGAGGAAGAGGGGGAGAGGGTGAGGGAGGAGGAGGAAGAGGGGGGGAGAGGGTGAGGGAGGAGAGGAAGAGGGGGGGGAGAGGGTGAGGGAGGAAGAGGAGAGGGGAGGAGGAGGGGGAGAGGATGAAGGAGGAGAAGGGGGGAGAGGATGAAGGAGGAGAAGGGGGGAGAGGATGTAGGAGGAGGCGGCGGGAGAGGATGAAGGAGGAGGTGGCGGGAGAGGATGAAGGAGGAGGAGGAGTGAGAGGATGAAGGAAGAGGAGGGGGAAGAATAAGAATAAGAATAAGAATAAGAATAAGAATAAGAAGAATAAGAATAAGAATAAGAAGAATAAGAATAAGAATAAGACGATGATGTGTTTTTTCGTTCTCGCGCCTTTTGCATTTCCCATCCACTCAACTTTGCACGCTTTTTTTACTCACTCTTAATATTCACTCAAGTCAACTTCTGCTTCCTCACAGAACTACACTTCTCCCTCTCTTTCTTTATGATGGACAAGCTTGGGTGTGCTAGCATAAACTATTGTCACAGACAGTTGGAAATTCACTAACTACTATCACTGCTATGATAATTGATTAATTTCTTTTTGTTATAAAGATAATCTTCTACTAGGAGTCTAAAAGGTTTTAATAATATTAGACAGAAAAATGCACTCTTTTTACGACAATAAAGAAGAAATTAAAAGTTACAAGACACAAGGTTGGGAGTTTTGGCTCAAGTGCAGCTTACCTGGAGGTTCTGGGGCAGTTTGACTGAAGTTTGAGAAGTCTGCAAAATCAGTATTCCTGGGATGGGAGGAAAGGAAGAGCAGACAATAAGATGAGCCTTTGTGAAACCTATCCAACTAACTGCAAGAATATCTTCATTGGTTATGTGGATACTAGTTCACACACATACACACACAAAAAGGTACCATAGCCTGTTACTCACCCATTTGCTGGTGCAGCAGCATTGCCAAAAGCTGAGTTGAAGTCTCCAAAGTCCTGTTTCTCTACACCTGCCTCACCCGCCCTAGGGTCAAAGTCATCCTCTGCACTGGTTGGTGAGGTTTTGGAAGGGCTGGAGGTGCCATTGCTTGCCTGGCTTCCAAAGAGGTTATCGAGGAGGTCATTGTTTTGGGCCTTTGTCTTGGAGGGTGTGGTCTGGGGGTGGATGGGTAAAGAGATTTTTGTGAACATGGGGAGATGGCACTGAATACTGCAGACCCAAAACTATTACATCTTCTATCTCTCTATAGCTAAATTTTTTGCATACCCATAAGAAATACCCTAATGAGGACACTTACTATGTGACTTACTTTACTTGGGTGTGGATCACTGTTTGATACTGAATTAGGAAATTAGTGTTTTTGCCTAGACTACTGTTTCTATAAGAATTCACTTATCATCAATATCTATAATTATAATAGTAATAATAATAATAATAAAATTCAAAATAATCTGGAAGATGGAAGTTAACAATTAGTATTCATTTACAAATTTTGTCAAAGTGTCATTCCTCCCTACCTGTGGTGATTGTGTGCTACTTCCATCTCTGCCGAAAGTGGCTGCAGCCCCAAGGTCCACCATCTTAGAGGGCTTAGAGGATTTCTTGACTGGGGCAGAGTTGCCTCTACTACCGATGCCACTGCCACCACCCAGAGAAGTCTTTCCACCTGTCTTGGGGCTCGTCTCTTCGTCACGGTATTCGTTGACAGGATCCACTGCATCCTCAATCTCTTCCTCACTAGATATTTAGAAGCAGATTTGCATTAATATTTCTTAATCTGTTTCACTGCACATATACATGCATATTTTCATTTTGATTTTGGCATCTTACGAAAATCAAGTAAAAGAAAATGAGGAGGAGGATCATATAGAGAAACAGTAACAACAGAAAGGAAAAGAGCAGTGGAATGTGAAAAAAGAACAAAAAGAGAAAGGAAGAAAAAGAAAGATAAAGCAGATAAAAAGGGGGAGGGGGCAAATGAGCAACCAAATTACTTGCATTAACAAAAAAAATATTGACAAGAGAGAATGAGAATACACAAAAAAACAAAAAACTAACCTTGCATTTGGTGAATCCTCAAAGCGAGATCCAAAATCATCCTCTTCTTTTCTTCTGCTGTTCCCCCAACCATCCCAGTCACCTGCCAGACAAAATAGGGTGAAAGCATGTCTCAAAACAGTAATTCCCTGAGATGCTTTGTTACCAAGAACTTTCTGTCAAGTTCTCTATAGAAAAGAAATATATGATGGGACACTCACTTTGTGATGAGCTGCGGAATCCCATAGACTCTGAAGACACCCCAACATACTTGTCTTTGTTTTTCTTGGCTTTTTTACGCTCTTCTCGTAACCTGTTGTCATCCTGGATGAAATCAATCAAGTCCTTTGCCTTAACTCTGTAAAGAAAAATATAATAGTAATTAATTAAACAATAATATTACAAACTGACTGGGAAATAGGGACAACAATCCTAATAACTTCAAGTGATGGGCTTATAACCTCTGAGAAGCCAAATGACTGTTACCTAAAGCAGATGTCAAGAGGGGATAGTTGGGCAAAATATTTCCAAGAAGCTATGGCCCCAATCCCCCTTTTCTTCCTTAGTCACTCCTAGTCAAAGCCTAGCGTATATTTTGCAAAACTTGAAATTTCTTTCATTCTCAAATTACTGCTTCTACTACAACTACTACTGATACTACTGCTGCTATTACTACACACCAGGTCCAGAGCCAAATAACACAAATCCATAGAGCTTTTCTTCCCTTACCTGATGTTCATGCCCTGATCCTTTCCATGCTCATCTATGAATTTGTAGTTCTCAAGTGTCCTGAGGTCATAGATGTGCTCCCTGGCAGAAGTGACAACACGTTCAGAGCCATTGCGCACGAGGTAGTTGAGCAGAAGGAGCGACTTGTAGGTGCGGCGCCAGGCAGCGCGGTTGTCCTGCAACATGCGCTTCCACAGCATCCCCATCACCTCTGGGAACTGTTCATAGTAGAATGTTGACTGTGCCAGTTCCTGCATCTGTGGGCCTGAAAGAACAGGAGAGAGAATAATAGTTGTCTTAGATAAGGGTTGATACATTTGACCCAACTACTACTAACATTACTTATGCCTTTGAAGTTCCATTATATCTTATTATTATTACTCCTCTGACTATTGTTACTATTACTGCTACTTTCTTCTGCCACTACTTTAATCAATTAACAATATTTTGACCACAAAATGTTCTTCACACTAAAACTGGCTCTTTACCTAATGATTCCATAAGTGCTCAGCTAACCAGGAGTCTATTAGTAGGTCTACA